ATCAAATGTATGAAATATGATATGTCAAGAGCTTTGTAATGTTTTGAACAACCAATAAAAAAAGACTTTTTTAAAAAAATATTTATTTTTAATTGTAGTTGGACACAATACCTTTATTTTATTTAATTATTTTTATGTGGTGCTGAGGCTTGAACCCAGGGCCTTGCGCATGCTAGGCAAGCACTCTACTGCTGAGCCACAACCCCAGCCTRAAAAAGTCTTATATTAAACATGAGGTGGTTTGACACTACGTGAAGGTAGATGGAGGTAAGTTAAAGATGTATGCAACATATCCTTGAAGTATAAAAAAAAAAATTAAAGAACTAATGCAATATAAAAGAGAAAATGAAATACTAAAAATCATCAATTGATCTTTAAAATGGTATTAAGAAAAAGAATCAGGGCTGGGGTTGTAGCTCAGTTGGTACAGCATTTGTCTAGCATGTGTGGGGTACTGGGTTTCATCTTCAGCACCACATAAAAAATAAATAAATAAAATAAAGTTATTGTGTCTGTCTACAACTTAAAAAAATATTTAAAAAAAAGAGGGGCTGGGCTTGTGGCTCAGTGGTAGAACGCTCATCTCTCATGTGTGAAACACTGGGTTCAATCCTCAGTACCAAATAAATATAAATAAATAAAAACAAAAGTTATTATGTCCATCTACAACTAAAAATATATTTTAAAAAAGAATCAAAGAAGACACAAGACAAAAATAAAACAAATAGCAAGGTGCCACATCATATTGGAACTTTCTGTGTTTGAAAACATATCCTTCTGTTTCTTTCATATATTTTTTTCTACTAGGTTATGAGTTTACTAAATTTGAATGATAAACAGACATAAAACAAGGTTATTTACTATAAGAAATGCACTGTACATTTTCTCTAATTTGGAATCTGTAAGAATTTATAAAATTTTACTAAACTAATCAATTAATATAATGAGATGATATGAAAAACCATAAGATTATGTTATTGCTAAAAGTTATTTTAGAAACTTCATTACACAAATTTGTCATTTTACAATTAAGAAACTAAGAGTCAAAGTGATTAATTGCCAATTGATAAAAAACAATCATATGGCCAATCAGAAGTAGAACTGTTGTAAAATACCTATTTCATACTTTCAAGTCCAGTTGTCTCAAGAGAAAATAATTTCCATGCAATGCCAACAATGTATACAGCATAAATAAATGTGCTCATTTGAATTGATTGTTGTCTAACAGGTCCAGCAAGATCTCTACTAGTTAAGTTCTATACATATCTGAAAATGATTAAACTTTTAAAAATAGATATTGTTAATTTTAGAGTTTTAATTAATTCCAATTCTTATTGATTAATCAATATTACGGAAGTGTGCAGCAGTTAAAGAAATATTAAAAATACCATAGCTAAAAAATCAAAGTTCAGCCTATCAAGCTCAGAGAATACAAACTTACATTCAACTCAAGGAAAATCACATTTATGRTAAAAATAACAAACACTTATGAAATCTGTGTGCAGTATTACCTGTAGCTCCCAGTGGATGTCCTTTTGAAATCAATCCACCACTAGGATTTATGACCCACTTTCCTCCATAAGTGTTATCTCCTCTATCGACCAGTATTCCACCTTTCCCTATGAAAGGAAAAATTATAATCACAAACGTTAAAAATAATACTGGAACAAATGGCATGGATTTTTAAATATCCACATAGCCAAAAATTTCTTAGACCTAGCATGTCTTAATAACTTAACAACAATTTGGTAGGAACACTTCTAAAAGTTAAGTAATAAATATTGAGCAATAATAATAATATTCAGAACATGTCCTGCATGAAATAAAGCTCCTATTAGTTCCTAAGAGCTCTCTGGCTTCCAAAATTGTTCCAAATATAAAAAAGATTAAAAAAAAAAAACAGAAGAAAAGCACTGAAATGGATATAAATACTATATGATATTAYAACTAAAATAATTATAACAACTTTAAAGTTCATGTTTTCATTTCTTTCTGTTTTCAATTGTACTGCTGTGTGCTAKATAAACATTTTTAATAAAAGGAAAAACAAGAAAAAAAAAGCCCTCTTATGAAACTAAGGGAAATGGCTAAAAACACATTGAGCCACAAAAGTAATGTTGAAAAAAATCACTTCTTATTTTTGGTGGCTTCAAAATTCCTGTCAATTTCCTGCTCACTGTTTCAAGTGGTTAAGAAGCAAATCAAAACGCATACATTGTATAAAATATTATTTCAAATGATATTTCTGACAAAGTAAGGAGAAATGGGCACTCCAAAAGATGATCATAATAGCAATGGTGGTACTGTGTGAAGTAACTCAAAATCTCCTTGGGGCATTCACTGTGTCAGGTCTTGTTCTAATTATTTTCCATATATCTTTACAATTTAATCCTACAATCCTTCATAGAACCTATGAAGTAGGTACTATCATTTTCATTTTCCAAATGAGGAAACAGTCAAGGTAAGAACAGACAGGAAAAAAAAGGCATATCTCTACTGGTAAAATAAAGTATACCAATCACAGAATTCAAATGACCAATACTTCTAAACTGCTTCTAAGTCTAGATTATAGATTTTAAAATCCCATAGGGTCTGGGAGTGTAGTTCAGGGTAGAGCAGTTGCCTCGCATGCTTAGGCACTCTCTCTATCTCTTGATATGTTTCTGACTTAGAACCTGCTACAAGGCCCAAGTCATCATAGACATTCTAATTCTGTTATTGCTGTTTTCACAACTGTTAATGTTGTTACTGTACCAAGTCAGGGCAGACTAAATAAAACCTAACCCCAAGAAATAAAAATTTTACTACATGTTTTTTCCAAAATATATACAAACCTGCAAAACAATAAAAGATTGTTAAAAGATTTTAAAATACTGTCTTGAACTCAACAACTAAAAGATAAAGTACTGTAAATGACCACTCTGACCCCCTACCATGGAAAGAGGAAAATATGTGCACACTTTTGGAAAATAATTATTACAACTATTATGTGCCAAAAGTAACATGGGAACAAATGGATACAATGTGACCAAAACAGACAAAAATATGTGCTCTCATGGAATTTAATTCATGATAGGMGAGGAGTGAAGAAAAGAGAGACAATGTGTAAAATAATAATACATAGAGTGACTGAAGTGCCATAGAAAAAAAGAGGCAGGAGGGGCTGGGGTTGTGGCTCAGTAGTAGAGCSCTCGACTAGCATGGGCGAGCCCCTGGGTTCAATCCTCAGCACCACATAAAAATAAGTAAATAAAATAAAGGCATCCATRTACACATAAAAAACAAATATTAAAAAAAAAAGAGGCAGGAAAGGGAACTTAGGAAGTGCTGGGACTGGGATGAAGGGACTGAGGGAACAAATCAYAGGGTATCTGGAACAAAGGCCTGAAGAAAGGAAGGAGTCCAGAGCACTTGAAGGAGACTGACATAGCAGCAGGAGAGTAGAATCAGAGAGAAGTAGAAGAGGTTGGAGAGCTGGGAGTGGGGATTCCAGAGATCACATTTGGCTCATGCATCAGGGTGAGATAATAAACTACAGGGTTCTGAACAGGGGACCAACACTGACCTACTATACTGGCTTCTGTCTAGTGAAGAGACTAAGGAGACAATGCGGATGCATGGGACTAGCTGGGAGACTACTACAATAATCTGAGTAAGAAACAAAGCTGGTGGTGAMAAAAAGTGATGAGGTTTGGTCAAACCCTGGATTTATTCTGAAGGGAAAATCCACAGCCAACATGACTTGGAGATAGATTCAGTGGAGGCTGTGAGAGAAAGAAAGGACTCAAAAATGATCCTAAGTTTCCAGTTTGGTTAATTGGAGGATAAGGAAGATTGAGGGAGGAGGAAGTTTGAAAATATCAAGAGTTCAATTCTGAACTTAGGCTTGAGATGCTTATGAGACATCAAAAACAAAAACAAACAAACAAAAACCTTGAAAAATAGGTAGCTGGATACCTAAATCTAGAGCTGCAGGAGGCAGACAGAACTAAGATATTCACTTGAAAGTTGGCATCACATACCAGATGCTTAACCCTGAGACGGGGTTTCAGTTCTGCTATGGCAGCATATGATCCCTTCAGCCCTTTTCTCCCACTGATCACAAYTGTAAACACTGGCTAAAATAATAAAACAACTACCTGAGAACTCTGAAAAGTAAACATTATAGTGGAGAAGCCACTGCACCAGGGTGAGTTCCCAGCTATCCTCCATGAGACTCTTTCTTAACAGCGGTGCCCAGGATGAGCATGGTCCTGGAACAGCATGGTAAGCAAGGGAGACCATGACTCACCAAAGGGAATCAGTCAATGGATCTATATGGTCACTAGATTTCTCCATTTCATGTGAAATGGTGTAATTTTAGCTCAAAGGAGACTATGAAGGTTAAATACACATACTATGACCCTTATAGCAATGGTTCTAACTGGGTTAGATTCTGCCACCAGGAGACGTCTGGCAATGTCTAGAAATATTTTTGGTTGTTACAACTGTGGGGGGAGTTGCTACTGGCATGTAGTGGCTAAGAGGCCAAGAATACTGCTGAATACCCTAAAATGCACAAGCCAAATCACAAGAATAATAGAGCTCAAATGTCAACAGTAATGAGGTTGAGAAAACTTGCCCTATAGCAACTACTGGTAAAAAAAAAAAAAAAAAAAAAAGAAAAATACAAAGAGATATAGCCAAAAATACCAATACAGGAAAATGGAGAACCCTGGAGGAGGAGAACGAAGGAACAGAAAAGACAAACAGAAAACAGATAATCAAATGGTCGATCTAAATTCTACTGTATCAATAATTACATTATATGCTGAAGGTCTCAAGTTAGCACTGCACAACAGAAATATAATGCAAACAAAACCACATATGTACTTCGTTAACATTTTAAAAATTTGTTTTTCAAAAGTCATTATTAATGAAACAAAAGGCAAGCCACAGACTAGGAGAAAATGTTCACAATGTACATTTATCAGACAAATGACTTGGATCCAGTTTTAATTTTTATCTATATCTATAGTTTTGAAAACTTTTACAACACAATAAAGACAAATAACCAACAACCAAAGGGCAAAGATTTGAACAAATACTTTATAAAATAAGATACATGAATGACCAGTAAGCATATGGAAAGATGTTCAATATCATTAGTTATCAGAAATATGCAATTAAAACAAAAATAAGATACTACTATATATTCTTTAGCATGACTGAAATTTTAAAAACTGATTATGTCAAATGCTGGCAAGGAAGTAAAACAACTAAAAGTCTAATATACTGCTGGTAGGAAATGAAGACAGAACATTTAGATTCTACCAACATTTTTTTTCATTTTCCTTTGTGCAAATATTTATTCACACATAATTAGAAAAACTTGAAGCATATTATACCATTTTAAAAATTTAACAGTAATTTGGATAACATAAATTATTGACTTGGATAATATAAACTATTTGTATACTCTGTTATTTCCGTGCTGGTATTATCTAAGACCACATGTTCTAAAAAGTCCAGTACCAAACCTGCTTATATTCACTCTGCACAGTGCAGTGGTGGAGCCAATGTGGAAACAAAGGTGGATTATTCTGTTTAATGGTGAAAGTGAAGCTTTCTCAGTGAAAGTTACCCAATTAATCTGCCTTCTTCAAAGATACTACCTTCTGGACAGAGTCCCARTGCTTCATAAGTAAGGAGCTCATTCACAGAAAAGCAATCATGAAGTTCAATTACATCAATATCATTTGGYCTCAGGCCAGATTTCTCATAGCATTTTCTGGCAGCTTCTTTACTCATATCATAGCCAACCTAAAACCAAAATCATGTATAAATAAATTAATGCAACAAACTGGGATTTTTAGGTAAGGAATTATAACAAATTAATTATGTACCATGCATGGTGACATGTACCTATAATCCCAGCAATGTGGGAGACTGAAGCAAGAGAATTGCAAGTTCCAGGCCAGCCTTGGTAACTTAGGGAGGCCCCAAGCAAGTTAGCAAGATCATATCTCAAAATAAAAAATTTTTTAAAGGGGCTGGAAATGTAGCTCAGTGGCAAAGCACCACTGGCTTTAACCTCCAGTTCATCTCCCAAAGAAAAAAAAAGAGAAAGAGAGATTAATTATAAATAATCTTTTTTTTTTWAAATATTTATTTATTTATTTTAGTTCTCGGCGGACACAACATCTTTGTTGGTATGCRGTGCTGAGGATCGAACCCGCGGTGCTGAGGATCGAACCRGGGCCGCATGCATGGCAGGCGAGCGCGCTACCGCTTGAGCCACATCCCCAGCCCCAATTATAAATAATCTTGACAGCTCAGAGTACCACACATATTGAAATCTCAGTTTATTCTACATTACACAAAAAGTCCAAATAACTCAGCTACTTGGGAGGACGAGGCAGGAGGATCATGAGTTCGAGGCCAGCCTGGGCAACATAGAACCTGTATATTATAATAATAATAATAATAATGTCCAGGAAGGAGAATGTACATACTAAATTTTATACTACAAACTATAAAACTTTAAGTAAGACATGAAAAGGACTTAGAATTCTTAGATCATATTTTATGCTGTTACAAAAACTCTATCAAATCCTAATTATAGTTGTGATAAATCAGTTGAAGAGATTATCAACACATCATTAGGAGTAACAAATAGTGAAAAATATCAAAGAACTTCTGTATGAAAATACATTATTTTTTAAGATAATATAGGATTCAAACCATTATTCCAAAATCCATGCTCTTAACCTCTCTTTGGTCTCACATAATAAAAGAATATGTAAACTCAAATTTCATCAAGAAATAAAACTGGAATAATATAAACTATACCACAATAGTTTGAATATAATTTCCACCTCTACCACAACCTAACTTTGTGATCCTGGGCAAGTTATCAGGACATTTTCAAGTTCACAGCACTGCTGTAAAATCATTTTGTATACTATAATTATCAAATAATTGCTTCTGTGGGAGAAGAGGGAGTTTTCAAATATTCAACTAACTACTAGGTCTAAATTCTTATCTTCTTTATCCATATTGCACAAAATCTTTAATCATGATTTTTGAAATGCTAAGGGTTAAGAAAGTTCTCTGGAGCCAGGCATGGTGGTACACGCCTATAGTTTCAGCTACTTGGGATGCTCAGGCAAAAGTATCACTTGAGCCCAGGAGTTTAAGGCCAGCTTGGGCAATACATTAAGATTACATTTCAGGCTGCAGTTGTGGCTCAGTGGTAGGACATTTGCCTAGCATGTGCAATGCACTGGGTTTGATCTTCAGCACTACATAAAAATAAATAAATAAAATAAACATATTGTGTCCATCTACATCTAAAAAATATTTTAAAATATTACATTTCAAAGCCAGAGAGAGAGAAAAAATATAATAATAATGGATCACAAGAAAATAGAAGGGAGATRAACAGAGGAGAAGGAAGGGATAAAAGGGAGGGATGAGGGAAGAGCATGGGGAAGTACTGGGGTATGAAATCTATCAAATTTTGCTACATCCACGTATGAACATACTACAATGAATCTTGCTTATATATAATTACAAATAATAATAACAATAATAATAGGGGCTGGGGTAGTGGCTCAGAGGCAGAGTGCTTGCCTTGCACATGTGAGGCACTGGGTTCAATCCTCATCACCACATAAAATATATAAATATGTAAAATAAAAGTATTGTGTCCATGTTCAACTAAAAATATTTAATAATAATAATAATRATGATGATGGAAGGTAGATYAGTAGAGAAAGGAAGCAGACGGACAGGGAGGAGGGGAAGGAAAGGAAAAATACTGGGGAAGGAGACTGATTAAATTATGTTATGTGCATGTACAAATATGGCATAAAGAATCCAAACATTTTGTATAATTATAATGCAGCAACAAAATATACTTAGAAWTTTTTTTTTTAAAGACTACAATTCGGAAAAAGAAAAGAAAAAATCTCTAGAAACCTCCTTGTTTTCCCCATAACGCTGTAAGATCGAAATTCAGTCAACTCAAAACAAAAATAAGCAGTACTCCTAGTTAGTTAAAAGTTATCATATTCATGGTTCCATCATAAGAAGCATCTATTCTCGTCAATTGTTTTCTCCCAACAGATCTTTTTTTCCCCGTTTTTCTTTTTGTAGTATTAAGTATTGAAACCAAGGCTCTCTACCCACTGAGCTACATTCTCACCACTTTTATTTTTTATTTTGAGATATTGAATTTCCAGGTTGGACTTGAACTTGCAATCGCCTTGCCTCATTCTCCTTAGTAGCTGGAATTACAGGCACATGCCACCACACTCAACTTCTTAACAGAATCTTAAGAATGGGTTAAAGATCTTTCAATTGTGTTCGCAGCCGCTGCRCTCTCTAACGCCAGAGCAGTCTCCAGCTCACTGAGCTCCAGCTGAAGCAGAAGGGGGTAAGTAAGGAGGTCTCTGTATCACGGCTCATACAAAGCCTGCAAATCTACGGTGGTAAAGCACCCAGGAAACAACTGGCTACAAAAGCCGCGCGCAAGAGTGCGCCCTCTACTGGAGAGGTGAAGAAACCTCATCGTTACAGGCCTCGTACTGTGGCACTCCTGAAATTAGACGTTATCAGAAGTCCACTGAAATTCTGATTCGCAAACTCCCCTTCCAGTGTGTGGTGCGAGAAATTGCTCAGGACTTCAAAAACAGATCTGCGCTTCCAGAGCGCAGCTATTGGTGCTTTGCAGGAAGCGAGTGGACCTTTTTGAAGACACCAACCTGTGAGCTAACCATGCCAAACGTGTAACAATTATGCCAAAAGACATCCAACTAGCATGCCGCCTATGTGGAGAACGTGCTTAAGAATTCACTATGATGGGCTGGGGATGTGGCTCAAGCAGTAGTGCTCGCCTGACATGCTCAAGCAGTAGTGCTCGCCTGACAGCACCACATAAAACAAAATAAAGATGTTGTGTCCACCAAAAACTAAAAAGTAAATATTTTTAAAAATTCTCTCTCTCTTTAAAAAAAAAATTCACTATGATGGGAAACATTTCATTCTCAAAAATTTTTTTTCTCTTCTCCCTGTTATTGGTAGTTCTGAACGTTATATTTTTTTYCCCATGGAGTCAAAAGGTACCTAAGTATATGATTGCAAGTGGAAAAATAGGGGACAGAAATCAGGAATTGGCCATTTTTCCATTTTCATTTGTGTGTGAATTTTTAATATAAATGCGGGGATGTAAAGCATTAATGCAAGTCAAAAATGTTTCAGTGAACAAGTTTCAGCAGTTCAACTTTATAACAATTATAAATAAAACTGTTAAATTTTTCTGGACAATGCCAGCATTTGGATTTTTATAAACAAGTAAATTTCTTATTGACGACAACTAAATGGTGTTTGTAGCATTTTTATCATATAGTAGATTCCATCCATTCACTGTACTTTTCTAACTGAGTTGTCCTACATGCACGTACATGTTTTTAACRTTGTCTGTCTTCTGTGCTGTTCCTGTAAGTTTTCTATTAAAATACATTAAACTATACATTTAAAAAAATGGATTATAATATCTGGTTTCTGTGGTAAACCCCTGTCATCCCATTGACTGGGGAGGCTGAAGCAGGAGGACAGCAAGTCCAAGGCCAGCTTCTGCAACTTAATGAGACCCTATCTCAAAACAGAAAATAAAAAGGGTTGGGGATGTAGCTCAGTGGTAGAGCACCATGGGTTCAATTCCTAGTAATACACACACACACACACACACACACACACACAATGGATTATAATATTAAAATTTAAAATTTCTACCTTTTTTTTTTTTTGGTATGGTATTAGGGATTGAACTCAGGGCCTTGGACACACTAGGAAAACCCTTTCTACTTACTGCACCACATTCCCTGTCTTTTAAATTTTATTTGAAGACAAGATCTTGCTATGCTGCCCAGGCTGGCCTCAAACTTGCAACTGTCCTTCCTTAGCCTTCTAGATGAAATTTTTATAAGTACATAACTTCCAAAGCTGATGACAATATAATATTGCCTCAAAATTTTAAATAGAATTTCCTCAATTGGATTAATAAAACATAATTTCAGACATACCACTTTAATAACACTTTCTTCATCAAATGTACTTGGCAAATCSGTCACCATCTCCTGTGCCAAAATTTCCACAGCTTTGGATTGCAGTCCGTACTTCTGTACAAATTCTTCACTGGCCAAAATTGCTGCTGCAGCACCATCTGAAGTGGGACTAGAAGGAAGTAAAAATAAATAATTATTTATACCAGCACTACCTCAATTGTAAGATTTGAGACTACACAAGAAGAAAGATCAAGTATTTTTGCTGGCCAATGCACTATCTCTTTTATGATACTGACAGTTTAAAAAATCATTTATGCTGGAAGAACTGAACTTCCAGCAAGACCTTAAATGTTATCAGTCACTGCTTGGTCTCTAGAATATCTCCCAAAMAGTTTTCTTTGCAAAGAATCCAGGATTTACCCCTGCAGTTACATAAGGCACTGTTTGGTGATCTTCAGAAGACTGAGTACAAAGGTTATTTTATCTTAATACAATAAAGATTCTACTATAAGCCTAAGTAGTTCCAATATTGCTACCTCTGAAATAGCTCAGTACAAAAATCCTTTCAGAAACTGGGAAAGGAGAAAACAAGGGGAAAGTCCATAGTTAAGACTCTTCTAAGAGTCATAGTGAAGAAAATATCAGAAAGTCCATAGTTAAGACTCTTGAAATCTCCTCAAGAATATATCTTTTTTTCCTTAGAGCATGCTGTAAAGCTAGGTTGCAGACACAGGAAGCCCTCTGAGTTCAGCAGGGCTTCCTAAATGGGAAGACCTTCAGATTGCAACAGATAAAAGCTGGCCCAACTTGTTCACCTGCATCCCAGCCAGCATCTCCAAAGCAAAGCCAGGTGTATACAAGGACACAGGCAAGAACTATTCAACATTCACTCAATCTTCTAGGAAACAGATCACATCAGGCAGTTTGCAAGTTGCCAATATTATCATTATTAGAGCTATGATTTTTGTTTTACTTCTACTCTTAGATACTATTACACAGTAAAATTTCCTGTATTAGAAGTCTATAGCAGGAAAAACAAAATGTTCAAGGAAAAAACCTCGGGACTCCACTAGCCTCCTAAGCCACATTTTAGTGAATAAATATAATTAAAACAACCAAAGTGGGCAGAAGTTAGGAGAGAGGGAAGAAGTAAAACACAGTTTTTCAAAAAAGGAGTCAGTCTGTCTCTGGGCAGGAACAGGAAGTGAGTATTCTAGTGAAGGACCCAAAATGGAACCACTTGTAGGAATTCTGTAAAATCTACACCCAGATACAAAGCCTAAGATTTAACCACAGAGAGATGAGCAAGGAGAGGAACAGCTACATCTATCTATTAAATGTTAAAATGTGTTTTTCTTACCAACATTGTAAGACAGTCAAAAACTCAAAAATGCTTCGAGATGCCATCACTTCATCTAAACTGTATTCATCTTGAAATTGGGAATACCTAAATACAAAATAAGTAGTTACAAAATGTGAGGCAGCGATTACAATTTTTGTTGAAGATATCTGGGTCCAGAGTTGCAGAGAGAATAATCTGTGAATATTCTTTTCACAGCCAAAGACAAACTTTTATGAATAGTTTCAACCTTGAATAAATAAGTCATTTGAGCTTTATAAAAAAATATCCCAACTCCAAAATATCCAATAAAATCTCTGGACACAGAAGTTTGGTGAGGCTTCCTAGTTGAGAAACACCTGATGTGCCAAAAGGTAAAGTTCCCTGTTGCCACAGGGAGAGGACATGAAAGTTCTGCATTGGAACCCTCCCAGACTCCACCCTACACGCTTCTTTATTTGGCTGTTCCTTATTTCTATCCTTCATAATAAAACTATAATGGTTACTAGAATGCTTTCCTAAGTTCTATAAGTTATTCAAGAGAATTATCAAGCCTGATGAGGTCATGGGAACCCCTGGATTTRTAACCAGTCAATCAGCGGTGTAGATGGCCTGTCCACCACCTGCAGCTGGTGTCTGAGGTGAGGGTGGTCTCATGGAGGATGGAGGCCTTAATTCATGCAGTCTGCATAAACTCTAAGTGGAGCATGGCAGATTTGAGTAGCAGTACACTSAGCTAGTGTTAGATCTGTTAAGGGTTAAAACAGAATTGCACAATTTTTGCTGGCAAATTATACAATACTGATTCCTTAAAAGCAAAATTAAATGATGTGCAACTCAACCCTCTTTTGTGGTGATACTATACAAGTACATTTAATGAAGGCTAATGGAGCTCTTAAGTATATGTAAGTTCTCCAAGTTCTAAAACTAAAACCTATAATAATTTTTTAATCTTTATTTTTCAGTTGGTCACAATATCTTTATTTATGTATTTTTATGTGGTGCTGAGGATCGAACCCAGGGCCTTGTACGTGCTAGGCGAGCGCTCTACCACTGAGCCACAACCCTAGCCCCTGTAATAAATTTTTGATTCTTAAAAAACATATTTCCTATGCCAGGCATCATGGCACACACCTGTCATGCAACTACTTGGGAGGCCAGGGCAGGAAAACTGCAAGTTTTAAGCCAGCCTTGGCAACTTAGCAAGTCCCTGTTTCTCAAAATATTTTTTAAAAGGTCTAGGGATGTAGCTCAGTAGTAGAGCTGTAGCCTAGCATGTACAAGATCCTAGGTTCAACCCCTGTTTCTGCAAAACACACAAACAACAACTAAAAAACACATTACCCTTCCATGACTGCAAAGAAGAAATTTACTTTTATTCTCTTTGGCTCCTCTAATAATATAATCATATGGCTTCAAAAGCCACCCTGGAGAAAATAGTAGCAGAAAGATAAATTACAAAGGAGTTTATAAAAGCAAATGTCAACTCCTGGGRAAATTAACAAGCAATTCAAAATTTTAGAAAATAAACCAGTGGCACAYGACTATAATCCCAGCTACTCAGGAGGTTGACACAGAAGGATCACAAGTTTGAGGGCTGCCTCAGCAATTTGTGAGAACCTGTCTCAAAAAAAAATTTTTTTTAAAGAGAAAGAGAGAGAGAGAGATAATTTTTTAATATTTATTTTTCAGTTTTCAGCAAACACAACATCTTTGTTTGTATGTGGTGCTGAGGATTGAACCCGGGCTGCACACATGCCAGGTGAGTGCGCTACCGCTTGAGCCACATCCCCAGCCCTCCCAAAAATTTT